CCTTGTGCTTGGTGTTCTCCCACCAGGCCACACCACACGACAGCATCGACGACATCTTCTGCTGGCCCTGAAGAACGACATCTTTCCGGTTAAGACTGGCCAAACACCCATGAATAGAGGAGGATTTGTTTATGCAAAGTATAATTAAATTCAGCTGAGTTGAATTTGGGCCACCTGTCGTCGGCTTTGCTCTTCTGGCTCTCCTCCTACTTCTTCACCATCGACAATTTCTTCTCCATCTCCGCCTTTACTAACACTCCGTCTACAAGTCCAGGGCCAAACAATGAATATGTTACTTCAAGAAGAGATCTTCAACATGTAGTACTACCAAGTACCAACAAATCTTTCAGGGAACCCATGCAATTAATTCACGAACAAATAAACCCGTACACGTACAGCACAGTTACTTGCCTCTCATATTTCTCACATTATCACGAAACAGAAGGCCCATATATAACCCAATGGAGCGCATTAGATTAAAAACCGCAGGCACCTCAGATATTCTGTATTTACTAATATAGTAGTATCTCTATCTGAACGGTGCAGAACGCAGTTCTCTAGCTAGGGATGCTGGGAGTATAAATGACAATTAAAGATATACTAGGTTTGACAAATCTTTTCTTGTCAGCTCTGACCAATTCAAGGCGTAATTCCTCAAGGTTGACAAGGGAGCCCACCCACATTGGCCAACCTCGTGGGTAGGCCTGGGCATAAAAACCGATGAACCGAAGACCGTACCGAAGCCGAAACTGAAAAAACCAAAAGTTCGGTTTTTACTGTTCCTACAGGAAAATTCGGTTTTTGTCTATGCTAACCGAACTTAAATCATTCGGTTCGGTATTAGCACGGTTAACCGAATAGAAAACCGAACACAGGTGAGGGCACGTCAACGTACAGCGAAAAAGCTACTCCCGCGCCAGGATTTTTATATTTTGGAAAAAGCTAACGTCCACACGTGTGGGCGTTTGCACATCGCCCACACGCCTCAATCACCACTCATTTTGCCACGTACGAATAGATGACATCAACAGGAATTTTTTTGGTTTTCGGCTTAAAAATGTTGTATCTCCTAAAGAAAAAAGCGAAGTAAAAATCCGTTTTCACCATTAGATCCGTCTCGACGAGATCTTCAAAACTAGACCCCATGCCGATATGTTTCGATAATTTTTTTTTTTTGCCCAGAAGTTGCCATGATGTTTACACTGCAGTTGCCATAGGGCTTAAACTAAAGTTACCATGTGGCAATTTTAGTATTTTGATGATGGCAACTCCAGTACTTTGACCATAAATATTATTTTTTGTATGAACCATGGCAATTTTACGTGCATGTATCATGGCAATTTTAGTTTATGGTTCATGGCAAGTCTAGTTTCTTAATTCTCCATTTTTTAAATGTCAAAATTTACTTTTAAATATAGAAGAAAATAGCTGAAACATAACATGGCAACTTCAGTGTAAACGCCATGGCAATTCATATGCAATAGACATGGCAACTTTTAATCCAAAAAAAATTCATCAAAACATATCAACATGGGATCTAGTTTCGAAGATCTCGTCGCGAGGGATTTAATGGTGAAAACGGATCTTCAATCGGATTTTTCGTCTAAGAGATAAAACATTTTAAAAACTGAAAATCCAAAAAGATTCCTACATGCATGCATGCGATGACGTGGCAATCTATTTGCATTAGAGACGTGTGGTGCGTCCCCCTTCCTGCCACACGTGTGGCAGTTATCGACGTCCTATATTTTTAGGCAATCTCCCGCAGTCCCGCGCTAGGTAGCCTCGTGAGTGCGTGCGGGAGGTCCTATATGACGCTCTTTCCGTCAAGTTGCTGGTGTTTCGCACAGAGCCTCCACTTGGCGGGCTTGTTGGGCCGTTTTATGTTTCTACTGCTGTTCGCTTCCCCTGTCTAAAAAAGAAATACCACGGTTGCAAGGATTCGAACCCAGGACCTAACAATATACGAAAAGTGGTATTACCAGTTGAGCTATCAGTCTTCAATGATTCTTTAGCAGCGCCAAGCTTAAAGAACCAAACACGCAGCGCAGTCCAAAATATATATCTTGAATTTCAAAAGCATTTTTATTAAAAAAACCAAAGGGATCTGTGACACACAAGCAAATTGCTGATTTGCAAAAAAAAAATGTTTGCAAAAATCAGGAACATTTTTTTGAAACGGGGACTTTTTAAAACTCCAAGGCAGAAATTGAAAACGCGAATATATTTGAAAAATGTGAAAACAGGTTCATTTTCTGAAAATTTTAAACTGAACAATTTGCAAATATGCTGAAAAAATGAAAACATGCACATTTTTGAAAATTGCGAACAATTTTTGGAAACGAGAACATTTTTGAACTGCCCAATTTTTTTTTTGAAATTTGTGAACAAAAAGTTGAAACTGAACAATTTCAAAACTCCTGAAAAAATGAAAACATGCGCATTTTTCAAATTTGTGAACAAATTTTGAAAGCGGGAACATGTTTTGAACTGCCCGAACATTTTTTGAAATTTGTGAACAAAAATTTGACACTGAACGATTTCGAAACACCTGAAAAAATTAAAACGTGCACATTTTTTAAAATTGCGAACTATTTTTTGAAAACGGGAACACGTTTTGAACTGCCCGAACATTTTTTGAAATTTGGGAACAAAAATTTGAAACTGAACAATTTCGAAACTCAAAAGTGAGAGTGTGCACATTTTTCTGAACTTTTTTTGAACAATTTTCAAAAATGGGAACATTTTTCGAAATTCCTGGGAAATTTTTGAACAAATTTTGAAAGCGGAAACATATCTCTTAAACCGAACATTGTTTAGTTTGTGAACCAAATTTGAAAAGACGAACACTTTTTTTAAATTCTAAAATTTTATAAAATTTCTGAACAAAAATTTGAAAACAGGAACATTTTTTTGCCTAGGCGAACAAAAAAATTAAAACTGCAGAAAATGATTTTGAAAAACATGAAACTTTTATGAAGTTGCAACAAATTATGAAATTCTGAACAGAGTTTTAAACCACGAACATTTTTTGAATTTTTGAACAAATATTTAAAATGGGACATTTCATGAAATTATGAACATTTTTTGAAACAAAGCGAACAAACTTTGCAAGTTATGAACAAAATTTGAAAACACGAACATTTTCTGTAAAAATGAACAAAATTTGTAATATGCAAACATTTTTGAAAAATAAAAAGAAATCTGAGAAATAAAATGAAAATGAAAAGAAAAGAAAATCAGAGAAAAAAGAAACAAGTAAAGAAAATAAACAGTAAAGGAAACAGGGAGAGAAAAGGAAAAAATAAATAGAAAAAAAGAAAAGAAAGAAATCCGGTTCAGGAACCTTCTAGAAGGTTCCCAAAACCGTAAAAAACCGGCTGGGAACCTTCCGGGAACGCTGAAAACGCGCAGATGGGCCGGCCCAAAACCGAACGATCGCCTGATCGCCTGTGCGAAGCAGCGTCTGTTTGCCGCAGAGAGCGGCGAATAGGGAATTCCAGTGCGTGCTTTCGTGGTAAACATATATTCATGGGCTAAACCGACGAGATGCATGCAAGGCCCAAGGTGGCAAGCTATTGTGGGCTTCTTTTTCTGGACACATGAACGCACGTAGAAGCTGTTGTGGCGCTTGTCGTTTGCTTGTTTAGTCCCACATCGGCCGGCCACACACACAGAGGTGGATAGCCAGGCTATATAAGAGCGCGTGTGGCATGGTAGCTAGGAACGCAGTTGACTATCTCTCACATTGAGGAAACATGGTATAAACCGAGTACTTATTTCGGTTTTCAATTTTGTAAACCGATTTTAGGAAAAAGCCGATTGGTAGAAACTGAAATTTCGGTTTATACCGAATGCCCAGGCCTACTCGTTGGCCCCCTATGCACTGGTTGACGCCCATTCTTTCGCTTATACATCCTATAAATTGAGAAACCCTCAATACCAATTTTCTCTAATTTTTTGCAGTCGCAAGTTTCTGTTCCAAGGAGATCCAATCTTGAAGCCTGTTCTGAACAGGAGCTAGATGATTTTATTCATCGCTTCTCATATACAAAGATCACATGAGCTTCTCTACATGATTTGTGATCCATCTGATGTAACTTTTTTGTGTGTTTGCGGTGATGTGATGAATTTTCACTTTATAATCAAATTTATCCAAATTCTTTTGAGATCAATTTGGTTTGTTTCCTGCATAATTCTTATTCATATATGCTCTCCTATCCATTCGTCTATCTTCGGTATTATCATTCTTGGATGTGTTATAATTATTTTATAGCAACTTTATATCATTTTTTGGGACTAACCTATTGACATATTGGCCAGTGCCAGTTGTTGTTTTTTTGCTTGTTTTTTACATCGCACAAAATCAATATCAAACGGAGCCCAAATGCAATGACACTTTTGGAGATATTTTTGGACAGAAGATATTCAGGGAGTCAAAGAAGTACACGAGGGGAGGCCCGTGGGGCCCACAAGACACCATGGCACACCCTGGTGTGTAGTGGTGCCCACGGGACACGTTTCCACCAACATCCGACTCTATAAATTTCACAATATTACAGAAACCCTGTAGGAGTACAAAAAATTGTTTCAGCCCCCGCAAGTTCCAGAGCCATGAGATCCAATCTAGAGCCCTTTTTCGGTGGCCCGCCAGAGGGGAACACGATCACAGAGGGGTTCATCATCCTCATTGGTGCTCCTCCGATGGTGCGTGAGTAGTTCACCTCAGACCTACGGGTCCGTAGGAAGTGGCTAGATGGCTTCTTCTCTCTTTTTGATCTTCAATACAATGTTCTCTTCGGAGATCTATTCGATGTAATTCTTTTTGCGGTGTGTTTGTTGGGATCCAATGAATGTGTGTTTATGATCAGATCTATTGAATTCATATTCATACTTGATTATTATAGCCTCATATTTCTTCTTCAATACTTCTGTTTTGTTTGGCCAACTTGATTAATTTATCTTGCAATGGGAAAATGTGCTTTGTAATGGGTTTGATCTTGCAGTGCTCAATCTCAGTGACATAATAAGACATGACACACATGCATTGTTGCTATTAAGGATAAAAGAATGGGGTCTATTCCTACATGAATAGATCTTGTCTACATCATGTCATCGTTCTTAAAGCATTACTCCGTTTCTCCATGAACTTAATACACTAGATGCATGTTGGATAACGGTCGATGTGTGGAGTAATATTAGTAGATGCAGAATCATTTCGGTCTA